TTTCTTTGCTGCACTTAAAAGTCAGACTTGCAGCAATGAAAGTAACAGCTGTTTGTAAACTGACATTTCAATGACAATTGTCAGGAGACAATAAGCATATGGCAGCTGACTCCTCACATGCAGAGAACTGCAGCAGCGGGGGCACAGAGCAGCTGCAGATGCTGGAAGACAGCACTGCATTGATCTGCAGTTGGGAAGGTCATCTCAGTGACTGAAGACTGGGTTTGGTGGCTTGACTCTTCTTAGAAGCTATAAAGGCAATAAGCTACTGCCTTACATCCTTATTTCTAATAAAAAGCAAGATTTTTGTCCTGGTTAAAATAATAAATGTAATATAAATACAGGCCAAAACCCCATCTCCTGGAGGTAACCTTCTTAATTAGTACTAGAGTCTTTGCTTTTTTTGCTCTCCCAAATTAGCAGTGGTTTATATTAAGACCACCAAGAGCCTGATTTGCAAGAAGGTATCTTTGCTCATGTTTTCAAAGCCATTTGTAGCAGAATCCAATAGGAACCAAATGATTTCCTCATGATTAGTATTGTTTTATGACGGTAAACTTAATATTGAGGGGTGGTCTCAGTCTTTTCCTCTTTTGGGAGCCATGCCTGTTGGAAGACTTTGTGATGGAGGCACAGGGCACGTTATGCCTTTGTGTGTAGTTGGGCCAAATACGCAGATGAGAAGCGAGCGCTAAAAAAAGTCTCCCTCTGAACCAACTGCATCGCTGCCTGAACTTGACTCACAGCTCAGTAACCATATGCTTATATTCCACTGACAGTTGCCATTTAAATGTCAGTTTACAAGCAGATGTTGAGAACCAGGCTTTGTGTCATTAATTAAATCACAGAGATGCAAAGTTTGAGGTCTAACACTGCTTTGGGCTAATTACGAGAGCAGCAGAGTCCGGCAGACCTTGATGCACCAGGGCAGTCAGGGTTAAGTGTCACAGGCAAAGGAGTGTGTACCTGAGGTCACTGCAACCACTGCCTCCGTTAATGGGCTGCAGCAGCCAAAGAAACCTGTTGTTGGTGTTGTTTGGTGACAACTGTAATGTTGTAGACAATTTCAGGTTTTGTGGGATGGCTGGCAGTAGCCAAGATAGAGACAAAACACTGGATTATAAAAGAAGACAGATTTAAGTGGTCAGGTGCAGGAAAAAAAAAAAAGACAAAAACCTATTCAATAGAAGAACAAGGAAAACCTGGAAGGGTGGAGAAGGAAGCCCTCTCTACTCTACCAGACATAAGCATGTATTTAAAATCCTTCCCAATAAAGTTCATAATGAATTTAATTCAGTCCCCTATGGCCCAGAGGAATGTTCTGAGTAATAAAAAAGTATTGCTAAGGGACAGATGACTGCCAAACTCCTATTCTCTGCCAGCAATGCATATTTATATTACTGGCACTTAAACACTACGTTTATTTTACTACATAAATGATCCTTTGTCACATATTAAGAATTAATACTCTGAGATTGACTTTTGGGAAGTTAGAATAATGATTCCTAAATTTAAAGCATTGTTAAACTTGCATGCTTTATTTTTAGAGGTTTGGGGTGGGTTTTTACAGATTAAAATCGTACTTGAATGTGGTCATTCCTATTTTGGGTAAACTATTTTATGGCTGTTTTATGGTTTAGCTTTTTAAATTGGTTTTAGTCAAGGGTCTTTTCATGTCTTGGTTTTTTGGTTGTTACCTTGAAATACCTACAACAATGTTAAATGAATTGTAAGCTCCCACCCTTACTTAAAGGTTGAGATGTACTCATAGTCAATAGATAACACAAGGGCTCCTGGCTTCTGTTGGCATTGTCTAATGCACTTCTGATGATTAAACTGGAATGATTCAAATGTGTGTTGGAAATTTCAAGCACCAGTAATGGAGATTGCAGAACCACAGCGTTACTTTGTTTATAAACATCATTATTCCGTGGGAGATAAATCTCTTCTTTCATCAAGTGTGGCACTTAGTGCAGTAGTCAGGAAAATGGGGGGGGAAAAAACCCCAGAGCTACTAATTTTTTTCCCTTTAATATGGAGTAGAAGGCAAAGTTGGATATGAGATAAATGTGAAGAATAATTCCTAGCAGGTGGCAGGCTCAAGTGAGAATGCATCAGTACTGGTGTAAGATGCAGTCTGGTTTGCATTCAAGCTGATTAAGACTATTTAAGCATCTTTGGCACATTACAGTACAACACAAACTCCCGGAGCCTCTGTCCAAGTTTGGACTGACGGCGGCAGCAGCACTGAACATAGAGCCTTCCTGAGGTGCTCTTCTGATGTGCTTCAGTTTACTCCATACTGCCATGTTAAGTGTGAACAGTGGAGAAAATATTGTGAGTCACTCAGCATGTTTATTTACATGGTGCACCTCCTTTGAGTCAACAAGCATGTTTTCAAAGTGTAAAAATGGACAATTAGTCATCCCTGGAAAACAACTGTTTTGCAGACATCTCCTCCCATCCCCCAAAAGACTGACATCACCACACTGTGCAAGGGCACAAGCAGCTAATTTTTCACCTGCTGTAAACCCTAACAAATATTCAGTTTTTCAGAACAAAAGTGTCTGAAAAATATAACATGGCATCTTAAGCACTTGGCAGTTTGAATTAAAAAGAAAGGTCAACGGCAAAGAATTCAGATACAAGCAAAAAATCAGACATCTCAGAGACTGCAGTTGAGCTTTAAAACTGAATGTACTCATTGTTTGCTCACAGTTTTTTCACAGCAGCATTCATAATTTAGGAAACTATTAATCAGCATGATGAAGTATCCTGTTTCTAACCAAGAACAACAACAACAAAAAAAATGACACAATACAGCTTATTTTCACTTCCCTTGAAAGAGATCATCTGGTAAAATTTGACAAGAAGTCTGCAGACGTGGGTTTGTGAACTTGGCATTTAAGTTGCACCAGAGAAAAAGCCCCATGGGAGCAGAAGAATCCTTTTGCTGCCTTTTTATAAGGCCCATCACAAGTCATTGCTCAGGGGGCATTATTTTCTGTTTGTCTGCGCCAAGACTGCTACCCCATATTTATTATGCTGACAGCAGGGAAGAAGCACTGAAGGCTACAAAATTTGCAGGACTAATACAAAATTCAGATCAACCTTTGACAGAGACACAACAGGTACTGAAAAGTGAGGCAAGGCAGCAGGGGAAGAGCAAGCAAAGGGGCAGGGAGAGGGTTGTGTGGAAATGAGAGTAAAGAAACAGTGGCTGAGGAGAGTTCTCATAGGCAAAGAACAGAAAATGGCAAAGGTAACACATTTACCACTGGCCTGCCAACAACAGCCCTTTGGGGCTCTTAATCCAGTGTTGTAGTTTAAGATGCACTCCTGCCCCGTCCCACCAAAGTTATTGTACCATTAGGTGATTACAGAAGCAAGGGATCAAAAGGAAAACTTTTATTGAGTAGCTCATTCAGGGAGATAATAAATTTGTTGAAGTAATCATTGCTTTCATTAGCAATTTTTTTTTTTAAAAGGCGTTTCATACCTTTTCTTTGCTTGGGGGTGGTGGTGGAGAGATCTTAGGACATACTCTGATGAAGCTCTAGCAGTTTCAAAGTTGTGAAAAATCTTTCTTCTCTTTTCTATCTCCCTTCTCTGCTACATTCATATCTTCCCACTAGAGAAGTATCATTTTCCTGGCTTCAAAAGTCAGTGTGTGCTATTTCAGAACGGCATTCCAACAGTGACCTGTTCAGTGGGGGCAATCTGACTCAGTCTAGACGGGTAAGAATTAAAATGCTTCTGTGCTGCTGTTGAGAGCAGAGGTCAGACATTGGATGAGATTAGCAATGTAACACAAGTCTGCGCAAGTAAGAACTATCCCATCAGGATACTCCCTGCTGTTCTGTGTGCCTGCAGCAGGGAAGGAGCCAGCCTGTACCTTCTGCTCCCTCCAAGTGTTCCTGTAAGGCACGTTTCCTGCAAAGGGAAAAACAAAGTGGGGACAGTAAACTGGTGGCTGCATTGTGTGCCGGTAGTGGGGGTGCAGTGAGAGGAATTACTTTGTACCTGGTATCTCCTGTAAGGTGTCAGGATTTCCAGTACTGACACACACCAGCAGTGAGGATGCCATTGAGGATCCAGGTGTCTTGTCCCTGCTCCGTCTCCCGCCTGGGAACAGCCAGCTCAAGTCACTGATGTGTTTCTGCAGGGCTGCTGCTCTGATGATGGCACCACCACTGCACCCTACTGAACACCGCTCCACACAGGCAGAACTTTTAAGACACCCAGCACTTCAGTCACCCTCTTTTTAATGCCATTAGTGATGCAGCAACATGTATTTATATTTACATATAAATACAAAATGGTCCAATATCACATTTTTAAGCATAATTTATAATCTGAAACTGCTTACAATTTCATGACTAGGTTTGGGTTTTTCTCATTTACATTCATCATTTAATTCCACTGGAATTTGATTTTTAAGAAAGCCCAACATATCTTAATTACCATAAAAAGATCCATACACATTTTACTTAAAAATAGCTTCTGTAAGAGGAAATCTACCAAAAATAACACGAAATATATTATTATGCATACATTTTCTTTTTTGTAAAGTACAAACAAGAATCTGATCTCTTCTGGGTATTGCCTGATCTAATATGGCTATAAGTTCTATTTATTTTGTTTGTTTTTCAAAGTAAAGGGAAAGACATAAGAAATGTAAGACCAAAAACCAAAATAAAATACATTCTTTTCAAAGATACAGATGATCAGAGAATGAACACTTTGAAAACTAAAAAATGACAACAGGTACAAAGAAACACTACCCAAGCACTATGTGGCCTTTTGTCAGAGCATGTGCTGCAATGACCCTGTAACAGTTATTAAAAATAACAAACAAAAAAGTGCTACTGGCAGAAAAAGCTGTCAAGCAAACACTGAAAAATTGGTACTATTTCCTAACAAGTAAGTGCAGAACTGATAGTATTTTATGTGTTTTCCCCCATGTATGCACACCTCTTTCTTCCTCTTTCTGCTTGCAGGGCTGATCATTGCTACTCTGGCGATATGCTGGATGCCAAACCAGGTGAGAAGGATCATGGCAGCTGCTAAACCGAAGCAGGACTGGACTGTACCCTACTTCAGAGTGTACATCACCCTCCTTCCCATCGCTGACATCTTCTTCTACCTCAGCTCGGTGGTGAACCCCCTCCTGTACAACATCTCCTCGCAGCAGTTCCGCAGCGTGTTCCTGCAGATCCTGCGCTGCCACCTGACCATCCAACACGCCAACAGGGAGAAGTTCCTCAGAGCCAACCAGAGCTCCAGAGCGCGGAGCAGCCGGTCCCTACGCCCGCTGCTCTTCATGTCGTCGAGGCGCAGTTCTTCCACCAAGGGCAACACCAAAGTTTTCCTAAGCACCTTCCAGAAGGAGCCCACGCCTGACTGCAGTCCACAGAAGCCAGGTCCTGAATCACCAGAGCCCAGCCTGGAAGCAGTGCCCCTCGAGACTAGCTCAGAGCATGGTCCAGACGCACAGAACGGCCTTTGTGAACATCAAGTATGACTTCATAAGGCAAAGTTAATGATTAGCAATGAACTTAAAAAAACACGGAAATTAAAATGACCCAGGAAAGTGACTACATCTCAAAAGGAATAACACAGATGGGTTTGTTTCCAGTTATGCAAAAAGAGCAGGAGTTCTGTATCCTGCTGGGATTTTTAAGTGCACACTGGAAATTCAATCTGCTAACTGAACTCATTAGCTGCCAAAAATATCAGCCCCTCTCTCCACACAACCACTGAACTTCCCTCGCTGTTGACAGGGATTTGGAAACAAACAGAAAATAATTGCAGTGTCTTTGAAGAAAGGAGGAGACAGAATGAATTGTGTCGGGGCAAAAAAAAACCAAAAAACAAACCACCAAACTTGCTTGAAGTTTAGCAATACAAAAACAACAGAGTAAATTTAAGAAGCAGAACAGTGGTCATCACTTGTGCCCTTGGCACCACACCAGAATTCCCCCTCTTTTTCGGCCGGGGTCCATTGCAGAGCGGAGTGTTGCAACAGCTGATGCAAACAGAGTTCACCTTCCCTGGAGAACAGAAGGACTGGTACCCAGCAGAGGCGATCAGACACGCGGCTGAAGACGCGCAGGACTTGCGGTACATGATTCCTGTGACACAGAACAAAGGTTACTTAGTTTGATGTGAACATGGTTTTGCTTTACAACAGGGTTCATGCTTGAAAACTGTCGTAAAACCAGTTTACATTCCCAAAGCAGTGCTGGTGATTAAGGCAGACACCTCAGTGGTGACACGACCAACAACTCTGCGCTGCAGGAGCAGCACAGTCACTCTGCTTTGGATTTCTCTAGTTTGATTCTGGTTGGAACCAAAAATATTACAGACCTGATTTACATAATGTATATCAAATGATGCATTTTATAACTGGAATTTTTCATCTTTCAGAATAAACTGTCTGAATAACTGAAATGCAATTACTGAGAAAATTAGTTTTGTTTCTATTGCTGAACAAGTCTGAATTAAGGTGTCTAAGTAATTACAGCTTTCTATGCTGTTAATTTGTCTTTTGAGTGTTTTTTTTTCCTTTTCTTGTTCCTTCACCACACACAGACAAGAAACCAAGAGTAAAAGGAGAATGAATATCAGCAAAACTTTCATCCTCTCCCCTTCCTCTTTAATTTTTTTTTAAAAGAAAAACTATAAGTGCTCTTCCAGGTAATCTCAGTTCCTTCTTGTCTTTGAAGTTTAATAACCTCAACAACAAAAATTTCCATTTCTATAGGAATGTCTTGTCTGAATTGAAAGTCTTCTCTTTTTTAATGTAATTTAAATTAATTTTAATTAATAATCTAATTTATAATTTCTCAAATTGTTTTTAACTGAAAAAAATACATTCTAATGTACACAGCTGTTATTTGAACATGGTTTTTAAAGGCTTTAAAATACACAGTTGTGTTTTCTCAAGCTGCAGTGGAAAATTGTTATGGCAGTTCCACCACTCATTACTCTAATATTCTCCTGCAACTGATACAGTAGAAATTGTGTCTTAGAAAAACAGACACATAACAGAAATAGATAATGGAGGTTTGCTCATATTGCCTTGCAGTTACAAGGAGAGCTAAATATTTCCAAGAATAAAAATCACTGTTCCTTTTGAACATGGGATTCTCAGAAAGTTGGGTTTTTTTTCCTCCTGAAGAGCATGGGAACAGGATTCTCTTGAAGAATGGTGCTTCTCCATCCTGTATCATAGTCCCAGAATGTTTTCAAACCCACAATGATGGAGACATTTTTTTGGAGGGAGTGAAGCAGGAATATGACCCATAGGTACCGAACATGCAATACCTGCAGGTACCTGTTCAGTCCCCAGGGACTTTGGAAACAAACACTACAGCACCTTCATGATCCAGTGGATACCTCTGCAGTGGCAATGGGCACTGCACTACTGAAGGCTGCAGGTAGAACACTGTTTGTTTGGGTTGTGCTCAGAAAGAAGGATTTCCTGTCTTCAGAAACTTTTAATTAAAGCAATTCTTTTATACTGTCACACACTGCTGCCATCCCAACAATGCAAGGGTTTCCTTATTTTGTGTTCTCCCTCTGCAAATCTCAACCCTGAAACATGTTTTGAGGCTATCTATCTTGTTAAACTTATGAAGAGAAGCCCTCAAGTGAGTGTTAAATCTTCCTCTGTCTTCAGTGAGCTTCAATCAATCAACACAGCAGGTAGAGCCTTTTCTCAAGGAGGAAGTGGAGCTACAGGCTGTTCTCGCTGTAACAGCAAAGGCACACAGATCAAGCAGCACTACAGTAATCTTTATTACTACAGTTTGCAAAAAGAAGGGAGCCCTGTCTCTGTTGACAAACCACTCTTGTCAAGAAGCCTCAACGGTGCTGCCACTGGTTGGCTTTACAATGCCAAAATCTCAGCTGATGTTCCCCACAAGGACCTGGTACTTTTCCACGTTCCTCCTGCAGTATTGCCAGAGCCAAGGCATATATGACCCTTCCCATGTCTACAATTAACTTTTTTCCTTCCCCCTTCCTCTTGAGAAAGGAATCCTGTATTCAGTGAAACTAGGCACAGTGATTGTCCTCTGTTCGCTAATCCCACATCTCCCCATCACATATTATTTCTCTGTAACTACAGCCAGCTATCATTCCTCAGTCTTCCATATCAACAGCAGTGAATTTGACTTTCCCCTCAAAGACCAAGCCTCCAAAAAGCTTTTGACACTGGCATATTTCCTATTCCTGTCATTTTATAGATCACTCTCTTCCTGCCATTTCCTTTTCACAGGTTTCCTGCTAAGTCCTGTTCACAATTTGAACCAATAAGTGATTTATTAGTTTGGGTCCCTGAAATATCACACTTTGCACTTCTTCCATAGATTAGGAGATTAGAATTGTTCAGAGCTGTGAACAATTAGATGATGCCCTCTGAGGCATGGCTTTCACCAGGCAACTCCAGGAAACCTCTACTCCAAAAAATTAAAGTCCTGCAGCTTAACTCCATGTGTTTACAACAGCTCTGTTCTCCAGGATCAATTCCACAGAAAAATCCTGAGCATCTTTTGAAGTCAAAACACAGTATTCCTGTACAGACTGAAATTTTATTTCTCAAAGTTTCATGAACAGATGAACCACATTCACACCCAAACAAAGAGAATAATCTAACTAACAGCAAAAAAATTGTAATGCTTCTCCTGTGGCTTTTCTGTAAATGTGTCTTACAATAGGAAATTACAGTCCCAAATGAGTCTTTATCCCCATTCCCAGCTCTAATCTGAATTGTAACATGATTTTTTACATAAATAAAAAAGTTAGTATTTCTATCAGCTTTTCAATAGCTCCTTGGCTAATGACATGCCCTTCCATCCAAAATTTTGTCTTTAAGTACTAATAGATTCTTTTGATCTTAAAAATCAGCTGCTATCACACTAAGTGTTTTTTTAGGAAGCATCGGATATGAAACAAACTTGATCAGCATAGAAAAGCTCTGCTGTTTCTCTTGTTCTGCTGTATCCTTACAGCAAGTTACAAATGCAAACAGACAGAGGTTGATGGAAAAAAGAGATAATGTTAGCACTACAGGAGTGACATTTTTAAAACAATTGAGCTGTGAACTTCACTTATTCTTAAACCTCGTTCCTATCATATAGCGATTCCAGATTAATTGTGGTAGGATATAAATTAGTATAACTGACTTCTGTGGTTTGATGGCAGGGACACAATCTCCTTGCTCCAGCAAACAGGTTAATGGACCCCAGTAACTGCAGCTCAACCCAAGTTCAGATGGGACAGCAGCATCCTTTCTGGATTATATCTAGAGATGTCTCCTCAAACTCCTCCTTTGCAGTGGATTATTGTACTGCTGAACCATTCCAAAACGATTCCCGAGATCTTCCTGAATCATTTGCCACCAGCAGGTTGAACTGCAGACAGTTCTTCAAAGTGGTTATCTGCCTCATAAGACTCATACCACAGACATAACTGCTAATTACCAGGTATTCTTGCTTGAACAATCAGCTTGGTACATTCATTAACATATCACCCAGAAAAATAATCGCAAATCTTTCTGGAAGCTTTTCTTCTATCTCAGATTGTTCTGAGTAGCTGGCTAGGTGAGGAGACTACGTTTTACACTCTGCTTTTGCCAGGATGGGGTCATTCCCAGCTATCTACCTTCAACAACTAGTACACAATTTATATTTACTACTACTCAATTAGTATATTTACTGCCCAATCTCTCGATGGATTAGCCCTGAGTAATTTTTCCCTTTTCATGGATTCAGCAGCCCCCCAACAGCATTGTGGTTATGCATATATGTAGGCACTATAATGATATTTTACTGTGAAGTACCCACTACTGACAAATTGATTTTCCTTCATTTTCGCTTCAAGGTTTGTGGGGGTGGCCAAGGATGTAGTTCAAGTACAAGTACTTTTAAGAAGAGAGGGAAGTACACAGAACTAGAATAGCTGTGTGATAACATGCTAATATTCTACACCCTCTCCTGTCACCAAGTACCTACTACAACTACATTTGTTTTCAAGGCTTTTTTTAAAGCAGTTTTGGGCTTAAATTTGACATTGAGAATTTATTCCTATACTAAGCAACTTGCCTATTGTTACATCTCTCTCTGCCCCACAAGTGGTCACATATTTAGACAGTGTCAAGGCCCAAACTACTATTTCTGCCTTATTCCAGTGAAGTGATGGATGTAAATCTTAAGGCTTTTCTATAGTTTCTGCTTGCAATATTGATTTTCTCACCTACATCCAGTCTAGTCCTGTGTGTCTGCACGTTGGCACTGTTTTGGCCATTTTCAAATGCATTCTGTCTTGATAGCAACAAACAATTCAAGCTACAATTTATTCAAATCCAAAAGTGAGTGTTCTTCCATCTACGCTGTCTGCAGAGCCCAGTACATTTCTCTTGAATAACAGCTTAACTTGTTACTAGGACAACCAAAAAAGGTGACATCACACCTACTTCTTACACTATGTGTATGCAGAAGGCACCAGAAGATCCAAGTTTTTTCTCTTACTGATTGAAAAGGACCTTATAAGGCACCTCTAATTCTTCTGTTCTAGCAGGTACAGACAAAAAAAGAGGCAGTGTAAGCATGACTCTCCAACTTTTAAGAGCCAACCATACCCCAAGCAGTATGCAAGTTCAGTTTGCACCTGTACTCCCAAGACCGTCCTTCAGCAAAATATGCAGAAGGTCTCTGAAGCCAAAATAGGCAACTAGGATATCACCACTGAGACCAGTGACCTAATTTCTAACAAAACAGTCACCTTTCCATTCCCATGACCCCACTACTCTGAAGCTGCTTTCTGCAATGGTACAGCTCAGCAGGAAATTGCAGCCCTCTGCTTCACCCCAGATCAGTCTATGGCCTCATGGCCACTAAACTCTTCTCTCTAAGCTTGACTCAGTCAAGTAGACATTGTCCTTTGCCCAACACAAACTCTTCCAAGTGTGACAACCCACTCCACACGAAATGCTCTCTACCTTATGGGCTATGACTGACACTCCTCATTTTTAAAGAAAGCTTTTTCTACACCATTATGTACATATCCAGCTTCAAAGGCACACATAAGGTAAGTCTGCAACTCATTCCACAAACACTGCTTTAGCAAAATCCCCTCCACATACTCTGAGTAGATCTGCAACATCAAATATTTTGGAGCATAATAAGTAGTCTGTGACCAACTAGGACCCAGCAATGAGGCCTCCTTGAACAGTCACAAACCATCTTTTCAAGACTGGACCATGTGCTGGAGGCAAACACAGAGCTGTAACTTCAGGCATGTAGAAAAGTTCTGTATCTTAAGATAAGTTACTGAGAAAGCTAACAAGGCAGATAAGACAAGTCTGAGGTGTGCCTTTAGAACCTTGGCAGAATTTCCAT